GAAAACCCCCCCCCCCCCCCGCCCCGCCCAGGCCGAAGTTATCGAAGGAGGTGTATGACCACGAACACTTGAATAATCAGCCGCAGATGGGTGAACAGCGTGCGCGACAGCTGATCAATTCTGCCAAGAGATGAAAAAAAAAAAACGTGACTCATGACTGAATACAAGCTGTCCTGTCAAACTATCAAACAGAAAAGCTTCAACGACGGAGACGACTTAACAACTCTGGGACTCGTCAGGCGACCTAATGACAAATCACAAAGAGTCCCCAGAAGTCCCGATTTTATCCTCTTCGGCCTCCCACCAACTTGAACAAAACGAAGGTGAAATCGATGTAGTTGTTGTTCTTGTTCTTGTTGTTTCTCACAGTAGCTCTATAGTCCACAAAAAATGGGAAGCCCGTGGTCTCAAAACCCAGCACATACGACGCCGCGGGGAAACAAAGCAAAAGTAGGGTACAAACCACTCGGAAAACGAAAACAAAATGATAATAAGAAAATAACAGGTACCGCACCGACCGTTCGAGAAAAGAGCCCTCGGACACCGATCAAAATAAAACAACAACAAAGGAGGACGCTTCCCACACCCGCCTAAAGAGAAATCAAAGGGTAACGTACCAGCACCAGGTACTACGCACCAGGGCATGGGAGTAACGGAGCAAACAGGACAACGAGGCGGCAGATGGGCAGACACAGCCAGATGTACAAAAACAAAAGCAACAGTAAAAGCGAGATCAAGGTACCCAACACAGCGTAGTGTAGTGTGGTCGATCCTCGAGCAAGACGGAGGATAACACACGCAGCACCGATGATAGAGGTGGCGGAATGTGACAAGTAAACAAATCAAATCAACCCCTCGACAGACACACAGACAAGTCAACAAGATGGATGGACACATGGACAATCACAGAAGAGCGGTCGGTACAGAGCGTCCTCTCTCGTTCCGGAAACCAACCAGGTTCGATTCGGATGGATTCGATCACCCCTGGGAGGAAGGCGAAACCGGCGGAAGAACGGATCAACGACAACATGCAAGACTACAGCACGTAAACGGCATAGCACGGCGGTACACAAGCCACATAATAAACAAACAAGTAACAAACACATACTTCAAAGTACTAAGATTCATTCATCTCTTGCTCTCCGGCCCATCCCGCCCGCGAGATCTTGCAGGTGATGTTGTGGGACCGACATTTGAAGACTAAATAATTTTTGCTCTTGCGCTGAAGCGTCTAGTCGAAGAACGCCCTCCAGGCCTCTTCTTCCCCTCCCGCTCCCCCCGCAGCCTGCCTGCTCCTCCTTGCTCTCTCGACGGCCTCGTTGGAGGAGGGCAGCTCTCTCCGGCAGTACGGGCAAGTGTTGCTCAATTTCAGCCACTTCAACAAGCAAGCCTGCGTGCGTCGGGGAAAAATAGGGAGACAGGGGAGGGAATACTCATGTTTTGCACGCCTTAGCGGTAACACCCGGGACCACGGGGGGGGGGGGGG